TCTTTGGTTTTATAGATTTATGGGTTCAAATAACTTCACACATTGTGTTCCAAGCTGTTAAAAGTGTCAAAAGTTTTCTATTTACATGTTACTACAGTGTTGTAATCACAACATCCAATCAGAGGTGTTTAAGTTAAACAAACCTCAGAAACCGCTCATGACTAATAACGGAGTTTGTGTAATAATGAGGTTAAGGTTTGCACGTTTGTAAACAACGTAGATTATTTGAAGGTAGTTATGCCTAGTATTAATAAAGCTATTTTCCCCCTCCAATACTTTTGAAAGTGATATTAAATGTATTTATTCCTTGAGAGCATGTGCCAGGACCGTCCTGGGAAGTTTTCAGCTTTTTCACCCCTGATAAATCTGCATCCCTGGACAGTTAAATGCTTTAGTCTTAAGTGCTTGTCAGAATGAACATTGTGCAAAGATGGAGATAAAATTTTATTCAAAGTTAGACAACAACAACAGGAGGATCCACACACACACTCCCATTGCCAGTGGTTCACCTGGGCCTTGTTCAGGGAGACTACAAGAAAATGGACAACAAATCACATCAGCTGGCAGATAATAGAAATAAGTCACTGTAATAGATCATGAACATCTGAGTGAATGTACACAAATTCTGAACACACTCACCTTTCCATCGAAGCAGGTCTCTGTGCAAGGCGACCCAGAGGGCAAGCACACTTCAGTAGAGCACATGAAGTAAATCTGTTTGCAGGGAGGAACACGTGAACCACTGGCTTGTCTTTCCAAATCATGCTTCTGATCATGTGTTTGTGTAGTTACCTCCTCATTCAGGTATTTTCTGGTGGACAAATCCATGAACTGAAAGGCTTTGATCTCAAAGCGACGCTGGTGCCGATTCTGAGGAAGATGTTTCATATAAAGGATGGAGGTGCTGCCAGAGTCGAGAGGATTGGGGCATCTGCAGAATAAGTGTAATACACGAATCAATGCTGAATAAGACATCTGAGAAGAGCAAAACTTCTAACTTTCCTGTTTAATATTATAAAGCTGCTTTGACGATCTGTATTGTATAAAGCACTATAAAAAAAAGGTGACTATGCATATCAACTATTTTTACGGAATTAACTGAACTGAAATGAAAGGCTTTGAAGTGCAACAGGTAACTATGGAATGTTAATGAGCTTAAAATATAAAAATGCATACAAATCAAATATGGCACGGTTTCTTACCCATCAAACAGCAGAATCAGGGCGCTCCGAGCAGAGCGTGGATAGGCCACACAGTAGTGAACTATGAGAGTCGCTGCAGGTTTTCGAGACTTCAGGCGCAACTCCAGATACACAGGCTTCCCCAAAAGAACATGTAGGGGCTGATGACACTGTGGATAAAACTTGGTGAAAGTCTCATCTGCCAAAAACAAACAAAAAAGGGGTCATCTCAAATAGTAAATGCTATGACCGTATGGCATATTCCATCACTACTGATTAATCAGAGAGACCAGGGCCCGTATTCACAAAACATCTTAAGGCTAAAAGTAGGAGAAAGGAGAAGGAGAAAATCTGAAAAATAATGGACGTGTCAGTCCTAAATTTATGACTCCTAAATTTTTGCTCTAAAAGTATTTCACAAAGCGTTTTTAGCACTAAAACTAGCTCCTAAATCTGTGAAAGGTTAGGAGTAGTGAAGAGGACTCCTAAGTCACTAAGACCAAGCCACAAACTATCCTAAAACAGCTGTTGCTGGAAATCTGCCTCGGAATATAAACAATTTTAGAAACGTTTGACGATAATGAGCTTTTAAAAAGGTATCCCCCTTTGGTTTTCGAGGTTACCCTAACTCCTAATTTTCCTTTGTTTATATTCTTGTTTTCATTAACCCGTTGGGCAAGTAGTAACAGCTGTGTCCAATTTGGTTTTCTTTTACGTTTGCATGCATTACTGTCAGTCAATTACCGGAACACATACTTGTTTAATTAGTGACGCTTTGCCACATTCATATAAAGATTTTAAAATGCAGGCTATTAACATTTTTATTTTTAAACCTTTTTGAATATGATATCACGCTCCACAATATTTCTATGAATAAATCTCTGACTCAGCCAATCACTGTGCGCATAGCTAGTAAGCATGCTGACATCATTCATAGCAACGAGGTCTGAGCTTACTCTGAGCTCAAGCCTTCTCTCTATTCCTTAGTAAAAGTTTCTCAGCAGCTTTGTGAACAGGTTAAGACAAAACTCTTAGCTAAAATTTTTTGCTGCTATTTAACTCTTACTGGTAAGAAAATGTTTTGTGAATATGGGCCCAACTTGACATGGCTATTGAAGTTTACCCATAGAGATTAAAAGCTGAACTTCAAACCGTCCTTCAGACAGCAGGTATGGAGGCAGACTGGGACTCATAACCATGTATCCCGCACTCGCAAGCACTGGTCCGCCAACCATGGGAGAGGCTGCAACCCTCCGGTAGCGGCATTCGACCATCAGTCTCAGGAGCACAGAATTAAAGACAAAGGAAGAAAAATAAGACACATAAGCATACAACAGCAGCCTGTAAGATTATGAAAAAAAAAAAAAAAAAAAAAATCCAACTTTCGAAAAGTTCTACTAACAAATGTAAAAAAAAAAAAAGTAGCCTGAACATAGAATTTTTAGGAGAAGTCAGTTTAAAAGTTGTTTACCTTACTTAGATACTCAAATATTTGTTCACAACATACCAATGTTCTCCCAACTTTCCAAATTGAGTCATCTGAACAAACAATTTTACATTGCAATATTACAATATAAATATTATATTCTAAAACAGTATTGCACAAGTTCCCAGCATTGCAGCTTGAAAACATGGTAAATTATTAAAATAAGTTTTACATTTTACTGAGTTAATTTATGCTGCTGCGGTCACTGTCAGTTAGCTGTCATGTGGATCAGTTCATATTTTTACCAATTTAAAATTTGTTGATCCTCACTATGATTGAGAATCGTGTGCTGAAGTACTTTATATGTGCATCTTATTGCAACTTAATACATTTGTCATACATCAGCACAAATGTTTGCCTTTAGTTAAGAGGCAGATACTACCCATATTATACAGCGGGCTTTGAAAATAATGATACAGCTAAAAGAGAGTATTGTAAAAGAGGATTAGCATTGATAAATAATCTTTAGTTGATCTGACAGATCTTTGAAAATTCAACAGATTGACTTTTATTCATTAGATGAGCTAAAGTTTTTAAGTTGTCGGTTGCTTGTTGAGTTAACTTAAGTTGAGTGTGATAGGTTGCCTTATTAGTTAGGTTAGGTCAAGTATTTTTTTTTCCCAGTGAAGACTTGGAACCATATGTACTGATAAAAAATGCACTATAAGACCAGGAACATGCATTGAACGCAGCAAAAGAACATTAAAAAACCTGATTGGGTTATCCCTGAAGATCATGCCGTACTTCAGGTTGCGAACTCTGATGATGGTCTGTACCTCAGCCAGGTAAATTATTGTTTCGCCAATGACCTGTAGAGCAGCTCTCCTCTTATTTCAATGAACCGAGTCAGTGTAGAAAAGAAGCTGACTCACAAAATACTCACGAAAGAGCGTGTTTCACACTCAGAGACAGAAAACTTGAAGATGGCGAAGTCTTTGTTGGAGATAACAGGCTTGCAACCAGGCTTTCCAGCAACCATCAGGCTCATGGGGTTCACAGAGATGTGTGTGAAATCATTATAAACAACAAAGACAAAGTTCTTATCAGCAGTGCATTCTGGGAAAATAAGTGGGTTGAGCCAAATTAAACAATTTGAAAACACGTTAAAACCATAAACACATTAAAAAAAAAAAAAATCTAAGTTAAGCAGTACATAAGTGCTGTCAAACGATTAATCGCATCCAAAATAAAAACTTATTTTCATAATATATGTATGAGTACGGTGTATATATTATGTATATATAAATTCACACACATAGTATATATTTTGAAAATATTTACATGTACATTTATATTCGTATAATATTATAAATACACATTTAATATGTAAACATTTTTCGTAAATATATCCACGCATGCGTGTGTATTTATATATACATAAATACACCGTACATAAACATTATGCAAACTAAAACTTTTATTTTGAATGCAATTAATCATGATTAATCGTTTGACAGCACTACAGTAAAACAGATCACATCCATGAAAAGGTACACTGGTACCTCAATATGCTTTCTCAGATTTGATGGCAAACTTTTGAAGCCAGATATTTACTTAATGAAAGTTATAACTGAAGCTGAAATGTGCTTGTTGCATGAACAAAGCTCATTGGTTCTCACACAACAGATGCATACGTTTGAGCTTCTGTTTACCCATTTAATGCATGCAAGATAAAATAAAAATGCATAAATGTAACAAGTATTTGAATTGAATTCAATTTCAATTTGTAAGGAATAAAAAGTGCTGCTTTTTCCTCAGAAATGTAACCAAGTGAAAGTACAAGTACCGTACTTGGGTAATTTTGGGGGATTTGTTCTTTGTTCAAGTATTTTACACCCCTAAGAGTGTGTGTGCACTAAGTGGACCGACCTAAAAACTGCAAGATTTTAGGTACTTATAACACTATGTGAAATGACTTGTCTTAATAGACTTAAGTTTCTTGAATATGCAGTTTCAGAAGTAGATGGAGTAGATGAGGACATACCATCCATGGGATAATAGCAGACTGCAGTCTCTGCATCAAAACAGCATCCTTTAGCCAGGCAGCCGTCTTGCATTATATCCGAGGTGTCACACAACACCCTCTGATCGGCAGAGATGCTGCAGCCTTAAGAGAAATCACCTCTTACTTTGAGAAAGACCGACACATCAACACTTTGGCGAATTAGTGGCTAATTCGTCTGAATTCATACAGTCTCATTTGTACGTTCAATCTGTGCACAATCTGCTCCCTAAAAACCATACATTTTCATGAGTCACGTTCACCAGTGGGGTTGAAGCACAGCACTTTTAGAGCAGCAGTGAGCTGTGTGAGTGGGACTGATGTTCACCTCCAGGTTTGCTGTTGAGCAGCAGAGGGCCTGCTGGAGGCAGGGCAGGTGATGCCTGGGACGGTTGTGTCGGGGGGAGTTTTGCACAAACTGGCATCTGATCTGACCGCACACTCAGCTGTTTTAGGGAAACAGCGAGGCGTTGGTTTGCATCACAAGACACTGTAGCGATATCCAACTGTCTGGCTTCATCTGGATAGAGGACCCTCAGAGTGTAATGGCCATCCTAAAAAGACAAAACTATCATAAAGCTGAGCACCTGTTTTTTTTGGACAGATGCTTTAAGGAGATAAGCAGGCTTGAGAAATCAAATGAAAAAGGTCGCAGATTTGTCTCAGAGGTGGAACAAGTCATTACATTTGGATGAAACAAACATTTTTCTTTGGAATACCACGCACCGACCTATTTTGGAATAGGCCCATGAATGTGTATAAAGTTAAACAGATTGTTAATTCATCCTCATGTCATTCTAAACCTATAAGAATATCTTCCCTTTTGATGGTCAATAGGATCCAAACAACATTGACTTTTACTGTACACTCTAAAAATGCTAGGTTAAATACAGCCCAGTGCTGGGTGAAATATGGATAAAACCAGCAACTTTTTTTTTTTGACTCAGCGGTTGGGTTAAATGTTTAACCCAGGGCTGTCCAAACTCAGTCCTGGAGGGCCGGTGTCCTGCAGATTTTAGCTCCAACTTGCCTCAACACACCTGACTGGAATATTTTACCCAGCACTGGGTTGTATTTAACCCAGCATTTTTTTGGTGTATATAGACTTTTTGTACATGTTTGAAAAGACATAAGGGTGAGTAAAGGACTGTTGCTTTAATAACTGACTTGATGTTAAATTCAGGAGTAGAAATCGAAATCGTTAACTTGATTGCACAGATACTATTGAACTGAACTGGACGATGACATCACCGAACCAATGATGAACTTACTTTAACTGAAATTGAGCATTTACTGTTGTCCTTTTGCATTATTAAACACGGTTTTCCTATTTAATACTGTAAAGCTGCTCTGACACAATCTGTATTGTTAAAAGCGCTATATAAATAAAGGTGACTTGACTT